TGATGGTAATGGTGGTGATGTGGTGTAGTGGACATGTTGGTGATGGTGGTTGTGTGGTGGATGTGGTGTTGGTGTTGGTGTGATGGATAAGGTGGTGGTGGTCATGGTAGTGGTAAAAGTGATGGTAATGGTGATAGAAGTATGGTGGTGGTGGTGTTTTTTACTTTTAGAAAAGTTGTTTCCAAAAACACACAAGATAACTCTAACTTGTTTTCTACCTAATTTTTGCTCTCAATTTTTAAAAAACAAAAACAAAAAAAACTAGCCAAACAACTTTTCTCTAAAACAATTTTTGAGATGCAAACTAAACAGGACCTTTGTTTTTTGCTTTTGTTCATTTGGAAACTACTTCGGAAAAAACATGTACACACATACACACTAATCCACCAAGAAACACACTCGCACACACACACTAATATGCTAAAAAAACGCACACCCCCACATACATACTAATGCATTAAAACACATATATTCTCATACACCAAAACACCCGCCCACACTTATACACTAAAATACACACACATATTAATATACCAAAATACACATACTAATACATTAAAACACACAGACACATTAATACATCAAAATGCATACATATATACACGTCCCTAATACACCACACACACACTAATTCACTAAAAATACACATAAACTAATACACCAAACACACAACCGTAAGGGACAAAATATTATCACTCAAACCTATTCAAATACTACCAGATTTGAATGCTTCATATCATATCTTTAATAAACCAATTCAAAGTATATTAGGATTACTCCAATTATTTTTTTATTTGATTTGGTGTTTTTATATGAGATTACCCAATAAACTCACCCTCATGTTTGAAACACATTGAGCGTAGCTCACTCTTAATTTTGATCCACTAATCTCTTCATGTACCACAAGCAAATTTGCACTTAATTATAAGTCGTCACAAGTGTCTCTATCTTTCAAGAATGTGTGTGCTGACCCATACTTTTATGCGTCTTTTCCCGCATCTTATGTATTTATGGGAGGAAATAAATAGTCAATGTTTTACCAATTTATAAACGTAAAGCCTAGTAATCTATAAACATATATAGGGGACACTAAATCAATATTTGGTAGATGTGGACCCAGTATATCTCAAACCATTATCTTAACATGACTATAAACTTCAAGAGCCAAAATCTTGAAGAACCATCTTCAATATTGTCATGCTTCATCACGTGAAAATTTTAACCATAATTGTCAACCATCGACTCTCTCTCTCTCTCAATCCAGTATCTTTATCAAAAAATTCCAAGATTATGCCATTAATATACACCGAACAAAGTCAATCTTTGCACCACGTCGTACACATATGGTAGGGGAATAACCTTCTACAACATAAACACCAACTTGATCGATACATTATCAAAAACCTATTCTGGTTATTGCACCAGGATTGTCCATCTAACTTTAATTGTGGCAGCAACATCATCAATCAAGCTCAGATTATTTCACTAAGATCATCATTCTTGCTCTAATATTACTTGTTAATTTTGTGGAACAATTAATTAACATTGATACAAAAAATAATTAAATAAAATACAAAATATATGTAGTGTACCCGTGTCAGTACGTACACCATATTTACATCTATAAATCAAAAAATTATATCAACGTATTATTAACTAACAAAATTGTAACTGATTACATAATATTCAACCCTATTTATAAGGATAAAATATTATGACCCAAACCTATTAAGATGATGCTAGATTTGAATGTTTCCTATTACAGCCTCTAGCGAAAAATGTATAGCATCTAAGCTATTTGAAGTCTCATATTCATTTTCAGAAGGAAAGCTACTCAAGGAGTTGCATGCCACCATAAACTCTTTGGTTCCTAGGGTGAATGACTTGAGGCCTATATCTTGTTAGAACATCATCTACAAGGCCATATCTAAGATAATTGCTACCAGAATTAAAGCTACACTCCCAACCCTTATCAGCAAGAATCGGGCAGCATTTATTTCTGGTAGGAGGATTGGGAATAATATCCTCATTGCCCAAGAGTTGTTCAGGAATTACCATAGAAATCATGGAGCAGCTGGGTGTGCTATATATCAAGGTTGATTTGAGAAATAAGCAGTCAAGTTTTTAATTGTCCTATCTTTGTGTATAGGTCCTACTGGTATGGGATTTAGCTGGAAGGTTTAGCTCAAGGCTTTAACTTCCTTCTGAATGCTATACCCTAGAACTAAGATGTTTTTGTTGCTTTTGCTCCATACTGGGCTTGCCCTTTTTGTATATTGACTTATTTTGCAATCAATAGAATTTACTTTACCTTCCAAAAAAAATTAGTCTCATATTCGTAACGTGTCATAATTGAAAAACTCTGCTATATTATCATAATGATTATGAAAAATTATAAATTCAGAAATTACCTAATATGAATAGAATGCAATAACTACATTGAAGAATCTGACGATGATAAAATGGCTACGAAGGTGAACAAATTTGAACTTCAATAACCATAAGTTGATTATAGCAAACCCAATGAATCTATGCACAAGTGTTACCCCAACAAGATGAAGTGCTCTCAAATGCATATTCCTCTGAAGGTAACATTAGAATTTAAAGTTCTTCTCCGAGGGATCCTTATCGTAGATGCCCCAAAACTTCCCCAAACTTTGTCCCCCTCTCAAATCTCAAAGCTTTTTTTTTCACATCCTCCAAATGAACAACTTATGAGAGAAGTCTAAGAATTATTTGCCTCCACCAATTGAAAATAATTTTATGTGAGGTATCTTTTCTTCTTTAAGGAGAAATATATTCGCTACTTTTCCCTCTTACAGCATGCACTTAATTCTCCCTACAAAGTTGTAGCAATCCTTAAGATGACAGATTTCACGTACCCAAAAAACCCTTAAGGTGACATATTTGGTTGCTGAACTCTTAGGCTTTTCAACACAATGCCAAATGCCGCATGGAAGAAGAATATGAGTGGTAGTCAGTCATATAATCCTGAATCAAAGAGAAAAAAGCCAGTCATACAAGTTAGTCCTATCAATGCTGGAACAAATGCCACAACTAAAACCACGCTATGGACCTCCATAAGTTGAATTAATTATGCAGAAAGAAAGCTGGAGAAGCTGTATAACAAATTCTATAAAACCTACCTTGATTTCTGTTTCTCCAGATTAGCATTTTCACATTGCAGCTGGTATCAATTTTTCAGACAAGTTTCCTTGCATATAAATACAAGTTCAAGTATGTTTCATTTAAGTGAGTAGATGTAACTATAACAATTGAAATAATCAAAGCATTATAGCATGGGAACATGATTAAATAAGCAGCTATAAATGAAACAACTCAACGGGTCCAATTGATATCAGGTAAGGTGCGCATATAGAAAGACTCATTCTGAAATAATAAGGGCAATTAAAAGTGTGACTCAAAGCTTTACACAAGTACCAACAGGCTTTTGGTCTAATGGTACTTGATGGCTTATGAAAGATTTGTTTTCTTGAGATAAACCAAGTAAATCCAAGTTGACTGCTATCAATTTGACTTCATTCAGGATGGCTTAAACTGTTCCAAGTCCTGCTAATTCCCCAGTACTTTTACCAGTTTGGTTTCAAAATGCAACTAGGAAGAAGATTGTCATAGAATTGGGAAAATTGCAATCAACACAATAGTTTAAATAGAACAAAAGATTGCATCTAAACAAAAAGTATTATGAAAGGGACGACTTTAAGAATGATGAAGTTCATATCTCATATTCTTTCATGTTAAAGCGTCAGCATGGTTAATTTGTCGAATCTACGCTGCGTGTTTATGATTTTGCTGTATTTGCATAACTGCACCGAAGAGTTTGTTGGAGAATGACTTTGGGTCCAGCAAAGCGAGAGGATCTATTCCATCAGCAGTCTTCTCTTATGTGGCAAATTATAGTGTAACTTGGCATTCAGCTAAAGCTATAAATAGGATTGTTATAAGTGAAAAGGGAAAATGAATTGGCATGTGATGTGGCGAAGCAGAAAAACATCCAACAGTTTTAAAACAAATGTGCTAGAACTAAAAATACTATAATTATATGTAGGATAAAAATTAAAGGAAATCAAACATTTCGCATCCCTACGCGTATGATTTGCATGTGAAGATTGTAAAGAGCGAAGTCTCCAAGGTGTTCTCGCGCGTGTGTATATAGGCGGTTTTTAACCTGAGCACATTGAGATCTGTTCTTCTAAAAAGAAAAAACTTGTAGGTGTATAGCAATTTTAGCAGAGAAAGATGGCTCGCTCGCTGGTGACACGAACAGAATCAGGAAAAGAAAGAAAAAAGAGGTAAAAGAAACTAGTGAGATTCAATTGCAAAATCAAGTAATTAAGATAGGTAGATGCTCTACCTTTTTAGAGCTCTGCAACGACTCTGTGCAGTACCTGCGGGCGTGCCCAACGAAGCAGCGACAAGAACAACCACCTACCGAACGTAATAAAAACAAAACATATGACAGAAGAGCTTGAATTCCATCAGGTAGCTAAGCTAGCTACACACTGTTCTGAGGAAAGAAAAAAAAAAAGGTGAGGAACAAAAGAATATATATATATATATATATATATATATAGAGAGAGAGAGAGAGAGAGAGAGAGAGAGAGCAGCTGTTGAACCAAAGAACCATATAAATATTTCGAGAAGTAACGCAATGGAAACCACGGCATGGGATACAAATTTGGGGAATCCAGGCCATACAAACTGTGAGGAAACCATGAAATCAAAGGCATTAGGGATCTAAATGTGTCTATACTTGTATTATTATACACAATTAATTAATCAAATTCCAAAAGCTCTTTCATCTCATGTCTTCTAATAAGCCTTGCACAGCATCAGCAGCTTTCATACTTGTAAAGAAATCTCAACATTCCAGCGCGGGTCTTCCATGAAGCTATATAGTAGCCTTACTTACCCGGTGCCGGTACTGATGGATGAGCATCTCTACCTCGAACGTATGTACTTATTATTTCTTTGGCTGATCAGATATCCAAATCCAAGGACATGGAGGCTTTGCCCTTATTGGGCAATTCGGACTGCGTTGGAGGAAGAGGTGTGGCATTGTATGGCCTAAATTTGAGGGAAGGAATAGAAGAAGAAAATGCAGAAGAAGAGAGGTCAGGAGGGTGAGGTGCCATTGTAGAATGCTGGGGTATGGCGGTGGAGGACAATATGTGATCACATTCGTCCGATTCCGAAATGGGACACTCCAAGTTCACGCCAAACAGCCTGAGTCGCTTTGCTGCTGCGACTTTCCCTTGGACCACCGGAACCGACTCGAAAACCACGGGCCTAACCCCATCCCCACCCCCAATTCCTCCGCTTTCCATTTGTACCATGCCAACATGTTGTGGGGCCGGTGCCGGTGTGGATCTGAAATAAATAACCGAGCCGGAACAAGGGTTTCCCACACTGTTGTAACTGTGAGGGCCAGTTCCATATGCACAACCGCAGGAATATGGATGACTAGTGGTGGTGCTTGGCTGTAGCAAATGTGAGTGGTCCGATATGGACGACATCCCCAGCTGAGATTGCAAAAATAAGGGATTCCGAGGGGGGACCGGCCGGCGGAAAGAGAAGTTGTGGTGTGGAAATGAGTGATTGGGAAGTGATGCGAGTATTTCTGGTGCATCGGGACGGCGCCCCCAATCGATAAACAAGCGATCCTTACCCAACTCACCGACACCTCGCTGGAACGATACAATATCACCGGCATCAAGCTTTTTCTCCTTGACAAAGCGACTCCAACCTTTGGTCATCACATAGCTTTGGCTGCTATTCCAGTAAGAATATCTGAATCGCCATGGCTTCCCATTTCGATCCTCAAAATTCAGTAGCAGACCTTTCTCGTTGGTCGACGAATCCAGTGGGAAATACCTCTCGGCGTGCTGTTTGGGGATGACAAGCCGGTTGAGCTTGCCAACATCACTGGGTGTGACTACCTTATCGAACATATGTTCCCTTTCTACCACCATGGCACTGGCACGGACACTGCTTCCTCCTCCAAGGGCATCGGGGGATGTATCCCCTACGGTGACTACATGATCATCTGAAGCGTTAGCATCATCACCACCACAATTTTGAGGCGATGAGTCCATCATGAGCTCAAGCTGATGAGCAGCTGCTGCGTTGTAGCATCGGGGAGGGGCCTCATCTTGGTTTTCTAACCAATCCCGTTGGTGCTGGTGGTAGGTAAGAGGCATGAGGCCTTTGTGCTGAGAAGAAGATGACGAGGGCGAACATGAGGAAGAGTGAGAAAAAGGGAGCTTACTTTTGTAACTCACCTGGTCTTCTTCATAAAGCCCTTGTCTACCGGCCATGAAATTTATTATCTGGGCTTCCAATTTGAATTAATAGATCTACTCCGCAGATGAAAATGAATACAAATCACAAAAAAAATACAAAGAAACCGGAGAAGGGTTAGATACTATGATTCAAGTATGAAGTTGAAACCTCAAGCATATGGGGTGTGAGTAATGAGTATAGTGTAAGTTTTGTTTGGTCCTTAGCACTGAAAATTTTCTCCTCTATTCTAGTTAGGGTTTGGAGATATTTTACTTCAAATATGTCTGAGGAAGAAGGAGAAGCAGGAGAAAGGGGGGCTCTCGTCGAAATACAGTTCGCGGTCGTTGCTTTTTTCTTTGACCAAGAAGACTCAACACGAAACTAGATACCCCATGGACGATTCAAAAGCGTGCCCGGTTCTCCTCCCTCCGCCTCCTCCTCCTCTTCTTCTTGCGACCTTAGAGAGAGAGAGAGAGTTTATGCGGGTAGTGGCAAGTGGGTACCTCCCTGGAAGCTTCTCAAGTTAGGCGATTTGCCTTGAATAAAATTATTGGTTATTAGAGAGAGAAGAGAAGAGACAGGCTTTATACGGCAGGGGTGGGAGGGGCCCATGAATTATCTGGTTAGGCTCATGTGAGCTTGTCCCTATCATCGTCCTGCCTGGTGTGGTGTTTGTATTTTCTTGAGAAAATTTCCTTATACTCCTTCTAATTTATTATTATTTAAGACACCTTTTTATATTTTGAACCTTCGCGGACACCCTTTATTAAATTAAAAGTGTTAACTAAAATAAAATTTCATTAAATTATCCATAATATATTTTAAAAAAAAATTTTATCCACACCTCCTTTTAGGTAGTCATATCTTCAATGAAATACTATTTATTTTTTAAATTTTTTTACGTATTAAAATTCAAACCGATTAAAACTCAATTCAAGTTAATTAAAATTTATTTTTTATATCTTAAAATTCGAGTCAATTAAAAATTATATTATCTTACATATTAAAATTTAATTAACTCGAATCAAATTTTATTCAACCTGCATTGATTTTTAATCGGTCAGAATTTTTATACATAAAAAATATAAATTTTAATCGACTCAAATTTTAATACGTAAAAAATAAATTTTAATTCACTTGAATCGAATTTTAATTTATTCAAATTTCAATAAGAAAAAATATAAATTTAAATCGATTCAAAGCAAATTTTAATCGAAGTTAACAGCTCAGGTAGAGTTCAAATCGGCTAGAATTTTAATACATAAAAAAATAATATTTAATCAATTCGAATTTTAATTAAATTTTATGTAAAAAAATTCTTTGGGATTTATGTAAAGGTAATTTTGGTATTTTAAATAATTTTTTTTATTAAAAATGATAGTTTAATGATAGGGGTATCAATAATATTTAAATATAAACTAACACGAGTGTAGTAATATTTTGACTGAGAGAAGAAGAAGTGTTCTTAAAGATATAGTAATAAATTAAAAAAAGTGGGCCAAAAATTTTCTCCATTTTCTTCTAGGATAAGTTTCAAAACAGACACACATAAAAAGAAATTAAAAAAAAAAAAGAAAAGCCAGCTGTTTCAGAAGAGCACGAGCTTCTATTTGCATTCCTGCAACTGGCCGGTCATTATTATTTATTTTCATGCGTTATTAGTTTCAGATGTTAATTAAAGCGCAATAGGCTAATTAATTATTTTTAGTCACAAGGAAGCAGGCATGACTACAATACATACATACATACATACATACATACATATATATGATGACCTTTCTTAACTAGCTAGAAATAAAAGAGTAGTATTGACTTGCTGTCATCCAACAGTTGTACTGATCCTGCTTGATGGTCCATCTCCAGCCAATGAGATTTACCATTGAAACTAACCACCCAACAACAGCTTGACTAGTATTGTTTCAGTTACTTGTGTCCTCCTCTCTCCCCAACAGTGTCATTTTATGTCAATGTATTATATTATTCAAAAAATTATTATAATTAATTTATTATTTATTATTATATAGTATTGATGTACGGATATCAAGAAAATTTCACCTATGTTCTGTAGTGTACGTAGTAGTTTATTGTTGTTGTCCGAATGTTGGTACTTATATTGCTTAATTAATCTTTATTAATTTCCCCACCATTCCCACAACTAGTTGATAATTGTTTGAAAGTGGCCATGTATAAAAAGAGGCCCACCCTGGTGTCGGGACCACCTTGTTTTTAAGCCGACGCCCCGCTGTAGTGGGACCATTTCATGTGAGAGGAGATGGAAACTAAAAAGGCTCAAAGCGATGATGTAGCTACAGCCTAGAGGGGGCCAATTTTGACGCATCTCCTGCCCGTGCAAAAAAAAAAAAAGTAAAGAAAAGCATATTGTACACCAACTGTCCAATATATTACTTAGGTGGAATTACATTTAAACTCTTTGAAGTTTGTCATTTAATTACAAAAATATTTTTAATATTTAAAATATTATATAAAGATTCTTGAAGTTTGTACACATATAACATTTAGATCCCTGCTGTGAATATATCCGTTAAAAAATTACACTTAAATCTCTTGAAATTCGTAAAAATATAATACTTATATCACTTAAGTTTAAAATATTATATTTAGACAAAAAAATAATTTAATTAAAAATAGAATATCAAATTTTTTAAATTTTATAATCAAAATTTATGTTCTATTGTAATCATTTATTGAAATAAAATTTAAATTTTTCTTAAAAAATTGTAATTAATATATAATTATATTATCTATTGGAATAAAACTAAAAAATTAAACAATGTGGTCTAAGTCATTCATAAAATGACATTAATTTTACATTCAAAATACATGTTTTATTATGTTATTTATTAAAATAAAATCAAAAATAAAAATCTAATTTTAAAAAAAAATCATAGTTAGTATATAATTATTTTTTTATTAAAATAAAACTAAAAAATTAAATAAGGGTTAAACTATAATGAATACAATATTTTTTAACTTCAATTGGGGTAGTTTTGTATTTTAATTTGGTCGTGTAAATTCCAATAGAAAATATAATTGTATACTAATTATGATTTTTTAAGAAAAAAATTGAATTATTTTTTATTTTATTTCAATAAATGATACAATAGAATATGAATTTTAATTGTAAAATTTAAAATTTAAAATATTTGATATTTTATCTTTGATTAAAATATTTTTGGTCTAAATATAATATTTTAAACTTAAAGGGTCTAAGTAATATATGTTTACAAATTTCAGAGAGTTTGAGTGTAATCTATTAACTGATATATTTACAACAGAGATCTAAATGTTATGCGTGTATAAATTTTAGGGGTCTTTATATAATATTTTATATATCAAGGGGTCTGAGTAATTAAGTGACAAACTCAGGGACTCTGAATGTAATTCTCTCTATTATTTACTACTTTCTTAAATCAGGTTTACAGCGTGCTTAACCTTTAACCTAGCTAGCTCCTTAGACATAATAATTGTTATTAATTATATGCTTAATCTCTTAGTTGTAATGCACAACTTTTACATACCCATTTACTCTATTAACCACTTCAAGATTCTTTTCGACGTCCTTCTGTATTATAAGTTGCTTGGATATATACATTGAAAATGTAAATTAAGAATGTGAATGAATAATGAGGTTGAAGTATTACTACGGTGGTCGTCTTTCCCTCTATGAATTTGTTGGTTTGTAAAGTAGCTAGTCTTCAAAAGTTATGTAACACCCTAAAAATCTGGACGACATTACAATTTAAAATCATTCATATCATAAGAATAACTAACAAAATCTATCAATAAATAAAAATGCATTCATCATATCTAATATTTACAACATCATCTTAAAAGAATATGCTCAACCATATCAATTACATCCAAAAGAATCAAGTTTAACTTGCAGCGGAATAGCAAAATATTAGATTCCACCGAGTCTCAAAAGAAATTTTCTAGTCTAGCACATAGGAGAGTATAGCCCTAAGCATCCACCTCGGGATCCACGTGCCCGTCTAGCGGAGCTTCCCAATGCACTTGCTCATCAACTCCGAGCTCCTCATCTAATACGTAATTTGAAAAATATATTGTTTGTAAAGAGTAAGCACTAAGTTCTGTAGCAACATTCTTCCCAAACTCGAATAAGGTTTAAAAAACATATAAAACAAGTCAGTCTCATTTCGCAAATATTTTATATCAATTTTGAAATAAAACCGGGACATTTCAATAGATCTCAAGTTTACCCAATAACAATAAGTAAATGAACAGTAAAATAAATTTTCCAACAATAAACCATTTCCAACTTTTGTACAAGAACACAGCCACCATATATAATCAACCATAATGTATCTGTATCTCAAGTCTGATGTAAAACATCGCATGAATAAACACATCAAGAATATTCTGGCCCACACACACACACTTAAATCCTCGCAAAGATATCCAACCTCTAGAAAGAACGTATATCAACACAATGACAGTGAAGAATCCAACTCAAAAATAGTATACTAACTCTTAGGCTCGATACCCGTGAGCAAATAGTGGTTTGGTCCTCACAAAGCACCAACCCCACTACGAGTGGTAGAAAAAATTTAAATCAGCACGGAGTAAGAAACGAGTCTACCCACTCTACGATATCCGGTCAACGACCACCCATAGTCATCCAAACATCCACAAAAGATACAATACGCAACCCAATTTCTCAAATTCCAAGTAAAATTCAAAATCCTCAAATTTCACATGTATTATTCCCATAGAACAATTTAAGAAAATATACAAGAGATCATCAACAATACCATTTTATTGTTCAATACAAAGCACTAAAGTTTTAAAATTAAGGACAAAGGAAAAATCAAGAGAAAATTCATTTCTCTTGAAAACTAGGGTTTTAAGACAAGGAGAAAGAGATTCAATGGTTATCCAACCATAGCTTTATTTAAAACATGGTAATATTTGTAAGAACACTAAGAAATAATGATTTTATAGTATATTTATAAGATTGAGAGTGAAAACATAAATATACATATAAATCCTAACC